AACTCAGATGTGTTACAGCTACCTTATGTCTGCCGTGGGTCTTTTTCATTTACGATCAAGACTATGGACCATTCAAAGTCTGTTCACTGACTGTCTGATGCATATTACACACAAAAATGGAACAAGCTTACTGAAATTGATAGTTCTAATTGGTTGTTGACCAAAAAGTGTTTCTGAGGATGGATGCAATATCTTACAGGGCAGAATGGCGGATGTAAATCTGGTGCATCACACAATTTAATGTAAATAACATGCACAGCATTGTAAAATGTGCTTCTCTGCATTTGTTCTCTGGTCTAATTTGTTTCCAAATCTAGCTTTTTAATAAACTTGGCATTGTACACTATGAATATCGCTGACGCGGTGACAAAATGCTTATGTCCCTCTATTGTAAGTCGCTTTGAATAAAAACATCTGCTAAATGCACGCACAAGCAAAAAAAATTAAATGCAATACAATAAATGTTTTACATAATATTGAATAATTTTTAATTATGAAAAACAGAAACTGGAATGGTTAAAAACACAAACTAAAACTGAAGTAAACTGTGAACTCTGGTAAGTCTGTGTTTCCAACACTAATTAGCCAAACAAAAAAAAAAGAGCCAAATACCGGTCAATTTATCAGCCATCATCACTAAATGACCCAGAAAATAAAACAAGCTCTGATTGGTTGGTTTAATTGTCATTAAAAGTTGGCATGCAATGGAAATTTCCTCCCTACTGTGCTGTATATTCAAGTGAAATGAGAAAAAAAAAATGTAGGGTTGATTTCAACAGGAATTACGTTGATCATTGCTGGATGGGAGGGATTATTTCCCAGCCCTCAAACGTCATCAGAGAAGACATGCTGTTGCAAAGGGAAGGGGAAATTAATATGTTTTATTACAATTACGAGGCCACTGGTTTGATCCTTGTTCAGTCTTCACGGAAACAAATAGAAAAATAACTCATTTTGCCAATTTGTCTGCAAGATTCTAACTTTAAATGACACAACAGGAGAAAAGTCATTCCTAGATTTCCAAGAATTAAATAAAGATTTAATATTTTTCATAACACTTTATTTCTATATTTTAAAATAGGTGCAGTTTTAAAGGCACATACCTTGGGATACAGATCATCAAACTCATCCGGTAGTGAAATGGATTCCCAATGCGCCAAACGAAGGAATTGTTTCTTATTTTTACTTTTGTTTCTCAAACCATAAACAGATTTTTTTTTCCAAAAGCAAGAGTATGGTTATCAGAATTGACTCCAATTCATAGAAAAATTGAATGGGATACATTTCATGCATCCACAAACCCTAATCATCAATTTGATCCACGGGGCATATTTAACCACACGCATAAGACATGTTATGGGTTTATCATCACCACATACTTATTGTAATTTTTGTGGGCCAGGCTGCCTGGGCACTTAGATGCATATGCTTTGGGACTGTCCAGACGTGCAACATTTTTGGGATATGGTGCTTGATGTTTTGTACAAGGTCACTAGGATTCATTTTCCCAAAGATCCTGTTCTGCTATTGTTGAATGATAATTCTCATTTTCCTGTAAATGAGAAGGACTGGAAATTTTGGTTAGCTGCCACAACTGCTGCAAAGAAACTTTTAATTCAATGATGGAAAACTCAACATGACCTTTCTATCAGACATTGGTTACATTCCTTCAGCACGGACCAATCATGATAAAACTGTCATTTTGTCAATGTGGAAGAATTGTATATGTTCAGTTAGTGAGATTGTGGTATTTTGAAAATAAAAAAAACACTGAATTACAAAAATAAATAAAATTACGAGGCCACATGAATAAAAAAAATGTGCATAGGTAAATCATTTATAATAAACACTGTAATATGTGATTTAAAAAAGAAATGAATAAATATTTTATCCTGACTTTAAACATTGGGTTCTGGTCAGAATAAGCTGCAGAGTGGACTAGACTTGATGCCAATGAAGGCTGGCAGAACCAGACACTTCTCTAGTGATAAACAACAGACAACCTGCACAATCCATTAGCCAGACTAACTGAGACTCATTCATCATTGTGGCAATGAGGTGAAAAAGTTGAAAGTTTATTAAGGCTTGCATGAAGCAAGGGCTCTGTCCTATGACCACACTTGCGCGAAATGACGCATGGTAACAAAATCACTGCATATACACAGGACACAACACTCACAAATTCAATGCCATAATCTCAGCTCAAGTCACATTAACACATTAACTATGGGGAATGTCTAAGAAATAAATTACCATGCCAAATATTTACATTTAATAAATACATCAAGTACAAAAAAAAAAATTCAAGTACAGATAAACTTTTCAATTCCAAAACATTTGGAACAAAAAATGGCAGCATGGCTTACGCCTGAAAAAAACAAAAAAAGAGCTCAATACTTTGCTAAACTGACATCACATGACTTAACAGGTGACCTGTAATCTAAAAGGCTCCATCTTGCTGCATTATCTCAGCAGAGCAGATGCAGTATGTACCCCAACAAACACTTACACACACACAGTAAGCTGTGAGCTAGGTAAGACAGCTGTAGAAGAGAGAGATAAAGCTGTGGCTGAAGATACGGTGAGGTGAGAGGTTAAAGGGCAGCTGAAGTCATCCAGAGAGGGAAAGATGTGTAAATCCTAGGGAAGGAAGTGTTGTGTCTGGTCCAGTGCAAGTAAGCAGTTTGAGAAGACATGAGGCTGTTCCCAATGGTATAAATGTAGAAACCACAGGATACCGTCAAAGTGGGAACTTAGGGCCTCACGTCACCTGTCAGCCATCCTTGCTGGGAATTATGTAGCTACACTGTCAATAGTACAATATACTGTGATACGAGGGAATGGGATGTAGGGTTTGGGAATGTAGCATTTTTCAGTGTATTAGGATTTCTTTTTGCCATTGCAAAGCATAAAACAGCATGACTGTCAAAGCAGATGCAAGCCAAAATACCAATACAGCCTACGTTCACAACTAATTACTGTAACTTCAGAGTTTTAGCACTCTATGACTCCATTATTGGGCGAATCTCCTGTCGAGAACATTTGCAGGTCACATTATTTTGCTTAAATAATAGAAAATTATATATATATACACACACACATATATATATATATATATATATATATTTGTCATTTTTATTGTATTTTTTTTATTTTATTAAATGTGTGTATATATATATACATATATATATATATATATTGTGACATTAGTTTCATGAGAATTTTGCACATTATTTCTTCCAACTGTCATTAACTTAATGCAAAAAAAAAAAAATGAAATTGTAAAAAATTCATATCAAAAAGTAAAAAAAGAGTACTGTAATAAAGTAAAAACTATTGTATTGCATATTGTATCACACAAAAAAAAGTAAGTCAAATAAATACAATAAAATTCAGAGATGGAAAATGTGCTTAAATATCATAAAAATAATGTCAAAATATTAAAAATGGTGAAATATATCTGTTTTTGTGAGATTCGCCCAAGCACTGATATGGTGTACTAAGGAAATAACTAAGTTTAAGTATGGATATTATCATATTGAGCTATATTACGCTACCACAACTAGTAAAAAATTCTAACACTTTAAAACACTATTCTACTGATTCTAACCTCGTTATCATCTAATCACTTTTAACCATATAATTCACGTATCAGAGGCAAAATATAGTCAAGAAACAAAAGCATTAAAAGCATTCATAATAAGAAGCAAGACAGAAGACACAATTAGCTTTCAGAAGCACATTTGACTCAATCAACACAGCTGATCGAACGAGGTCTGTGCTGTTTTAGAGCCAATGTAAAAGAGAGAGAAAAAGAAAGTCCAGGAGGCCCAAAGGCGGCGGGATGACAGCAAATCGCTTGCAAAGATGGTGAAACAGCCCAGAATCTGGCTTAATCCACAGAGCAAAAGGCCCAAAACCAGCATCACGGTTCATGTATTCCACAAATAACGACCCTATGGGTAAGCATGTGCGTCCAAACTGGCTAACTGAGTATTCTGTCCATATAAAGGCCTTTTATAGTGTCCAATGAGGGTTGATCTCCCCCTCCCAGTGCAAACTGAATCAATTTCATGTTAGTCCACATACGATAGTCTTTTCGTTCTTTCAGAAAATTTTCGCCGGACCGTCGTTTAACCATGATCAAGTCCATGGCACGGTCCGCTTTGGGCAGAAGGGATGGTCGACGGTGGCGGTCGGAGGCGGCCATCTGCGACTCCTCCCCGACCCCAACGCCGCTCTTCAAACGAGTTAATTTCCCTCTCTCTCTCTCCCTGTCTCTCTCTCTCATCTGTCCTTTTCTAGGGGAGGAGGTGGTGCCCGGCTCTCACAACCTGTTCAATGCAAAGATAGAAAGAGTCAGGGCAACACACCTCACACCACAGCTGAGGCCAAACAGCAGCTAACCCAAACTAGCCGCTTTACATGACGGTACAAGACATTGCATATCTCCTACTTTGCATTGTAAAAGCATTTGAAGTACTTGTAACCTGACAGTCCACTTTCCAATTACCCCAAAACAGCTTTAAGTCAAATCATGATGTGACGGAAGTGGCGACTGTTTGGCACTTCTATTATAAGAGTGTCAATTAAAAGTCTCTTAGTCATGCTTGCATATATTTTAGCAAAAACATAACAAGGTTACGGCATTGAAAAGTATGATGAGGAGGTGTTAAAGGAAGGAAAAAGACAGGATAATTGAACGGTTACATTAAAATAATCCTGTGCGAAGGAACCGCAACCTCATACCGGAGGCCAAGTGGTGACAGTAAATCAGACAGCTCATTACTGCCAAACCAAGTGAGCAAATACATGTGGCAGCCAAATAGAGAAGGCCCTATGGAGCCAGCGCTACCTCCCACTCACACATGCATGGAAGAGTCCTTATAATGAAGCCTGAACTTTAATCACGAGGCGAATATACCCACCCCGAGCCAGATCAAACATGCTCTCGCGTGCGCAGATGTTTCAGAGACGAGCATTGCACGAGCTTTACCCACCTCACTAGGTTTTCATTATCGCCGGGGCCCTTGCAGGTGGTGCACTCGGTCCGCGTGTCATCGGCTTTGGGCTTTTTCTGCAGAGTCGACTGCCTCTGTCTGCGCTCCCGCGGTGACGGTTCCTATGGAAACGCAAGCTATTAGAGGCGACCGCCGTGTGTGTTTGAATGAAGCTGGTGAGTGGAGAGGGCTGAGATTGCTGTGTAAACATACACAAGCTGTCTTCCTTCATCTCGCTCTCTAAATATTAGAGGTAGATGAGGGAGATAAAGGAGTGCAGGGTGAGGAAGTGAAAGCTCACCTCGATCTTCTCCTCTTCGCAGATGGACATTCTCTTCCTCTTCTGGCCTCTGGTTCTCTGGGTCAAAGGGAATATTACATTTGGTCATAATATGGCACACTGAACAACGCAGCAGTTCTAGAGTCAGATTATTGTATTTAAGATGATTTAAGATTATTAAAAAACGAACATTGGAATTCGGAAGAATTCTTCTGATCGGAATTTGAATGGGGTACTTAAAATCATTAATTCAAATGGATTGTCACTTAAAAACCCACTGAGAAACAAGCCACATAAAGGGAGAACTAATAAAAAATGAGTCCAGAAGTACAAAACAATGAAAAAAAATGACTTGACATGATGTGTTATTTTACTTAACACGACATCACCTCAGAATGTCCACATCCAGAATGGACCAATCGGCTTCAATATTGTTTCCTACATTATTTTTGGAAATGCATTGGCATAAAATATTTTTTATCGGCCATTTTAGAATGTCAGTAAAAAATCTTATACATAATGTTGCAACTTAGATTTTATAAGACAATCTACAATTGTCTATTAGCTGCTCAGCAATATCATAAAGGAGATCTGATGTAACGGTCAACTTATTTTCCACAAGAAAAACAATCAAATGACGGGAGTAACCATGCAGTACATCAAAAATAGAAAAAAAGCTGAAAGGAAACTTGCATGAACCATTCAGTTATTTTGCGTTGCCTCGTGCCAATAATAATGGTGTAGAACAGGGGTTCATTAAATGAGGGAACTGCAGGGGTTCATTAGCTGACAAAAAAACGAATAATTAAATAAAATGCAACATTAATGTAAAGGAAGGGACTGCACAGTTAATAGCAGTGTTTGATGTATCTTATCAAATCGTGATCATCAAATCAAAGACTGCAATTTAAATAAGTATAGAGTCTGTTGCATTGTGGGTTTTATTAATATTACAAATTTGGACACACTACTATAGTAGGGAAGTAGGCATATTCAGACGTAGGTAATGAAGTCAAAATAACATAAGCTGATATAACGAACTATAAATGTTTCCAAAAGTCCTTAACTTTGCACTTCAGGGCTTTATTACAAAAAAAAAAATTGCAATGTGATGTTGTTCAAGCCATGTGGCAGTAAGCTGACCAGAACAAAGTTTAACGCTCTCCACGAGTAAACAGCTCACACAGAGCAGCTGGTGACTTGCGGCTCACTGTAGCAGCTACAGATGTCAAACAGTGATGCTCCTCTCTAATCCAAATCTCTCATTCAGTCCGGCTCCCCCTTGTGTGCCATAGAGGGATTCAATCCCTTTGTTTAGAGCCCAGAGCAGAGCCCCAACCAGTGCCCCTCTCTATCCAGATAGAAGGCCATTCTACAACTGGGTCAACCCTGGCTGTTAAATTGGATTTTTGTGTGTGCCATGAACCAAAATTGAGTATCCAAACTCATTCTCCACAGAGTGCTCTCCGGTTCATTTAGAGACTTTTTGCACTGTTTTTCTTGTCTACCATCGGCAGATCAACTCTTCATCTCCATCAGTGGCTGATAAACACAAGGAAACCAACAACAGCATTGCACGAGTCAAATCAAACGTCTCCACCTTAATGCAAACAGGCACACGAGTGTGCCAAGCTGGGGCTTTTTAAAAAGGGAAGAAAAAAATAACAACATATTTAAACAGATTGTGAAAACAATTCCATCTGTCGCCTTTGGCTTGCCACCACACAGCAGATGGAACACTTATCATTATAAATGCTAACTGCTTCCACACTGCCAACTGGCACTTAAATGCCTCTGCCACTTCTCCCTCGATGGTGGCACCAAACAAAGGCACTCATTTATTTCATTATTCCTTCATTACGGCAGACTCGATTAAGGTAATCTATTAGAGGCTAGATCAGTGGTCCTCCACACAGAGATCCTCCATGTAATGGTAAAGAACTGTAAACGTGGTGAAGGGCTGACGTAAACAACAATCTACACTTGGAGGACAGTCGAGACGACTCTGTGAAAAAACTCTGCTTTTTAATTAAGGACCTTGCAATGCTGCATCTTTAAAAACACTGAATCAGTTTCCACATGATTGGAAAAACTATTGGTGCATACATAGGGACAGTCACAGTGTAGCCTACTGCGGTAATTCAAAGAAGACTAATGGCTTAAAATCCAGGACAAATATGTAAATAATCAACAAGGTGTTTGATTAGAGAAATAGTTTGCTACAAAAAAAAAACAAAAAAAAAAACTATAGGAGTATTTGGCCTAAAGAGCACAGAGGCAAAATATGAAAACATGAAAATAATAAAAGAAAAATAAATAAATATTAAAAAAATGAATCAATTACTAAATTAAAACAAAAAAAATAATAAAATTACAATCAAAAAGGTGTTTTATCTGAAAAATAGTTTGCTACAAAGTTTACAAAACTATAGGATTATTTAGGGTAATGCCATAGAGGCAAAAGTGAAAAAATAACAAATACATAACTAAACAACTAAAAATAGTAAATGATTAAAGTATAGAAAATAATACTAAAAAACCTAAAGAGCACAGATACAAAAATGAAAATAAACAAATAAATAAATAAAAGACTAAACAAATAATATTAAATTATTACATTAAAATATGGAAAAAAAATTATATATTTTTTTAGATTCTTTTTTGTTTAAAGCATTGCAGTAGATGTGTCTGTCCCATTAAACTCAATGCTTTTTTTTGTGGGTGGTTGTCAGGGCATTGCTTTGTGGTTGCTAGGGTGTTCTGGATGGTTGCTTGGTGGTTCCTTAATGGGCCAAATCTGAAGAGCCAAACTCTTAAGCGTTTATGATATTCTGGTCTCAAGACATCACACAAGCCCTCCATTACAGTAAGTATGGAATTGTATCACCTATTTTAATGTCTTCCAAAGTCTGATTGCTTAGAAAAGTAATAGTACACCTCTCCTCCACAAACTGCAAATCTTGAAGTATCATTCATGTCTGTATCAGCAATGGTGAGTTACATGTCAAAGTTTAATACTTGAAAAACCAAAGTATGACTAAAATGCTTTAGCAAACCTCTAATTATAGCAAGATTTCCAATGCCCTTAGTCTCGCGAATGATGCATAAAGCTTTTTAAGTCCAATGGAGTCTAGACAAAATCTCAGTGCGTGTCATTCATGAGAGCGATTTCAGTTGTGCAGGAGGGCCAGTATTCAGTGGCCGCAGAAAAGTGCGGCACATTAGTGAAGCCGAACACCACTGGCTCCTGAACGGAGGGATGGCGGGGGTCGATTAGCTGGCCGTGATAAATCAGAACACAGCTTTACAAGGGCTTGCCACAGCCACATCGGCTGGTTAAGAAAATTAAAAATGCAAAGCAGGGCTCCTTCAGCTGCTGCCACACTCTGGAGTGCAAGTGAAGATACATTCTGCAATGAAGCATCTTTCTCTGGTGGAGTTTAGCTGGAGCTACACAAGAGAGAGAGAAATAAAAGCCTTTTAATCCAGCTGCTCTCCACTGAAGCCTTCGCCTCACTTCTGGGCAATCGTCTCAGAGACTAAAGGGAAAACAAATTAACCCTTCCTGTCATACGCAAGCCCACACTCACACGTAAATGCAGCAAACAAAAAATATCATCCAGAAGTCCTTTTACCTTTGTGTGAGCTAGTTTGACAGCCGTCAGCCAAGGCGAGTGGCTGCAGTGCTGCAGAAACCATCTAAAATTGTGCTTTACTTTCTAATTCGATTTTAAAAACTGGCAGGGAAAGGTTTATTGACTAAGCTTTAAAACAAAAGGTTGAAAAAGACAAAATGAAGAAGGCCTGGAGAGCATGTCGTTTCTCCGATGGATATCTTTTGTCTTCCTTAAGGGAGCCGGGCTGCCGGAGCGCTATCGCAGGATCAGAGAATGCTGGACAGTGATAAGTGGAAGCCATGGAGAGCCTGAAAGACAAGCCCTATCTCAAGTCTGAGAAGACACACACACACACACACACACACCTACCCTCATACTTCAATGTGGTGCTCTGCCTCTACAGCTAGAGTTAGTGCGTGTACAAGTCTGATCATTTAACAGACAATTAAATACTCCCTCTGTTACAGTGAGCTGCCTACAAAGGCAGCATTTTAAGGCATCACAGACAAGCTAACAATACTACACACTTGGCAAACAAGTCTATTGTCTATTATTGTGTAGCGCTGTGTGAAGAACAGCTTGTACAGCAGTTTTCTGTTGGTCAGTGCTACGGATATGTGAGACCAACTTGAACCCGTTGCATAATCTGAGGGGGGAAATCTTTATCCCTCATGCAAAATTCCTGGATGCATGGAGAAATACTGAAATTTCAAACTCTGTAACATTTTTTAAATCAGCAGCAAAATCTGATAAACTGTCCCATAAATGTTTTATTTATTTATTCTCAAATATCATTTAAAAAGTCTATATTTCATGTTGGTAAAACCAAAGTGCATGTGCAACCCAGTGTGCATCTAAAAACACAGACTGTTTCTATGGAAACCAGGAGTTTCTAATAGCAGCAATGAAGCAATGACTTTACCTATTGGTAGCTGGCTCTTTTATTTCTGGCAGGACTTATTATGCCAAAATGTGTTACACTTTCTCCCATTGAGTGCGCTTGGTACTTCTTTGTACCTATACACAGTCTTTGAAATTGTGCTGTTAGTTTAGCAACACGCAAATGTATTTGAATCAATTTTAAGGCAAGCAAGACATAGCACAGTATAGTGTTATAAAGCGTTCCATATCAGTCACTTCTGAGGCTGAGCTATCTTCCATAGCAGCTGCCTTTGTATGGAGTAGTCAGCAAGACTGCTCGTTAAGTTTCGGAAACAATTCTAAATGCTAATGTTCCAATAAAACTGAAATGCTAGGGAGCAACAGTTCCAGTGGGGTTTTCACTGATGGCTTAATTATGGCAGTATCAGTTTCAAGGTGATTTTATTAAATAATTAAAGATGATAGAGAGTTTAGGTTGTCCATTTCAAAGTAATCAATAAGGCTAGCTGTTGTGACCTTCACCGATAACCTCTGCCAAAGCTCAAGAGACTAAAGAACAAGTCAAATATCTATTTGACGTGAGGAGCAAATAATCAATTTCAAACCAGTGAATGAAAGTTTCACCTAAGACAACAGCTAGAGTTAAAGGGGTCATATGATGTTGCTAAAAAGAACAATCTTTTGTGTATTTGGTATAAGGAAATGTGTTTATGCTTTATATATAAAAAACGTACTTACAGTCTGTGAGTCAGAACAGCCTGCATTGTACTCTACTCAACCAGGATCAGGAAACAGTCCTCCATAAAATGCGCTGCACACATCTGAATATTTGGGTTGAACTGTTCTGGAACAGTAAGTTGTAAATACAACTTAACCACTGATTTCTAGTCGTGTCCTTTTGGAAGGCCAAACAAAGTAGTTTCACTTTCACAACCAAACACACAGTGTCACACAAGGCGGGCTAGAGTGAGGAATGGCCGGGGGGCTTGAGAACGGCGCGGCCGGCGGATTCGACGAAGGAGCGGCCGGCAGGCTTGCAGCAACCACATGTGACGACCCCGGGCTGGACTCCACTTCGTCCACGGTGAAAGCCGATCCGGCGATCCACAGCATGAAGTTGATGTATTTCCTCAGCGACCAGCACGGATCAGCTATAGGCATGACGAAGGTGATATCGTCCTCTTTTGGAAGGCCAAACAAAGTAGTTTCACTTTCACAACGAAACACACAGCGTCTTCACGATATGGTGGCGGCGGCAACAACAATACTACAGCGAGAATAAAAGTTATGCCTTCTTTCTTTGCGTGAACATTCGGGCGGCATTATGCAAATCTCCCCACATTGTGATGTAGATATGTGGGGGCGTGTTAGAATGAGCCCTTTTAGGTAGGCGTGGTTGACTCTTAACTTTTATTAAGAATATCTCTTTGGATTTGAGACTTTAGTCTTTGCAACTTAACAGATCTTCTTTATGCACCAAGAGCTTGTAAAACTCCAAAGAGAAATTCAAATCGCATCATATCAGCCCTTTAAACCACCAAACAGAGAGAGCTAGACTAAGCTTAAAATGGACTAGTAGACAGAGTCCCTTGAAAGTCCTCTTTCAGCCATGCACTGCAAAAAATGGCTTATCTTACTTAGTATTTTTGTCTTGTTTCTAGTCAAAATATCTAAAAATTAAATCAAGATACTTTTACTAGATAAGCAAAATGACTTAAGATATTTAGTCTTGTTTCCAGGGGAAAAAAAAAACCTATATTAAGTGCATTTTGCTTAAAACAAGTAAAATTATCTGCCAGTGGGGTAAGTAAAATATTCTTAAAACAAGAATTTTTTTTAGATATTTTCACTAGAAACAAAAATACTAAGTAAGATAAGCCATTTTTTGCAGTGTGTTTTCACTGACTTAAGAGCTGAACGAACACATAACAGATTATGTGATGGCACTAGTGGTCCTTGGTTAGAAAACCACCTTTATCATTAGCGGAGATCTGTGAAACGCTGCAGAATTTACACCAGCACTGACTTTGTGTTGGTGGAAAAGGGGTATTAGGTGCCTTCAAGTATTTTTAACACATGTTCGTCATCAGTGAACTCATGATATGCTCATACTCACAGTCCCTCTCACTTGAAGCTTCTTGGGCTCTGGGCTCATTTCTTGAGGGATAAATTTGATTGGTCCCTTGATCTGCCTCCTGGACCTTTTGGTTCCATCTGGTAGCGTCTCCATGGCGATGTCAGCCTCGTCACTGCTGGCCTGGTCGCACTCAGAGCACTGCCTGGAAAAGTAGGAGTGACAGACAGAAAGAGAGAGAAAGACAAAGGAGTCGGGTATTCTTTTGCTTTCATCTGACCTTATTGATTTCTCAATATGGAGAAATCTTTGAGATGAGAGAGTGGCTTTCAAGGTCCATGCCAATGTTTTTACATTGGAAGCAGATGTGTCATATTCATTCCAACAAAAGTGTTGTTAAAATATCCTGCAAAAAATACATAAAATTGAAGGAATAGCCACATTCTTTAGTGCGAGCAAAAGCTTTTTGATTATACAGTATTACTGTCTCAGGGGCAGGCAGTTGCCAGTAATTAGGTACGACTTGGCCCCCCACACAATTTTATCTTTCAAATGCTTTCTAATTTCCATGCAGCAGCGCGGAACGCCATCACGCTTTCTTATTCATGGATTAAATGAATTACTCAAATCAGCAGCGAAAGCATTGGGCTCAGCGTGACAAATAAACAAAACACAGAAACGCTCATGCACGCAACTGTGGAGCTCCACATACATTTTCAAAGTGACAGTTAGTATAACCTTATGAAAGTGAACATGAAGCACTGCAAGTGGAATACTGCACTTAGAATTTGAAACAGTATCTTTAATTTGCTATTTATTTTGCTTTATTTTGACACTAAAAAAATAGAGCTATGAACTTAACATGTTAATTTAGTAATTAACTATAACAAAAAAGTTATAAAAATCCTGCAATTAATCATGCTCCCTGACCCATATATAAATCTGATTTATTTATCAGCATCTCATGTAACTGGATTAAAAATCTTTGCTACACTGACAGCTCTAGAAAAAAAGGGAATTGTTTATAAAACGTTTATTTGTTTCCTCAAGAGCAGGGATTACCAAATTTGGTGAGATGAAGATTTTAAGCTAATATTTCAAGAATTGATCTTTTAATAATTAGATTTCTGATGTGGGTTTGTGTTCACATGTCATGCAAATAATTCAATATTTTCCAAATATCTTTATAAGCGAGTCTTTCATTTTGAGTGTTTTTATTAACTTATTTTAAATGTTACATTTTTACAATTATTAGCCAGTGTTGAATATTAGAAACCCTGCTCAAGAAGTGTCAGCACTTCCAGAAGTTAATTTTATCACATTTTAATTCCATCTCCCATTCCTGTTCTCACCAGTAGCTATTTTTGGTCTTCTTCGGCATGCGTGTGAGAGGTGGGTCCAGGCAGCCCAGGTGGTAATACAGCTTACAGGTGTCACATAGAAGTAAAAGATGCTGGTCTTGGTTTTTCTTACAGATCCCACAGCTGCAAAGAACACAAAACTGTTTCTTATTTACAGCACACAACCACATTAAAACATTGCTTTTTAAGGCAAGGCATCTTTTCACACACTTTTCTCTCTTTCAGTGTATAATTTGCATAAAATGATATTAGAATAACAGTGGCCAGGTGTCATGACTGATGCCGGGCACCAGCTGGCACCCTGTAACGGCTACAAGCTAACCTGTAGAGCATAGCTGGGAGGTTCGATGCCTTCCCTGGTGATCCTCCCTCTTTCTTGCTTGGCTTTCTCTCTTTGGGAGCTTTCAGAACTGGAGGAGAGTTCACTTTCTGCAAATAAAGCAGAACACTGAAATTCACTACATTTGAAAGACACATAAAATTATTTATTAACAAACCAACAGCATAATATTAAACTAGACCTTCATAACTAGAGAGTTACATGAGTGTTTGCCAGGGTAGTGCTATACAGTTGATAAGGTGATCTGGGTGGATGCTTACTAGCCCCAGTCAAAAGAGTCCACCTCCAGTATGATATTCTGGTAACTAGAAATGGCTTTGGTCCTTCAATGCATCTCTATTGGATATTTCAGTCAGTTTTACTGTCTGCCAGCACATCTCTCTCCTCAATTAACTCCACAACTCGAGGTATACATGTCCTTATCGAGCACTATTCGGAAATGCAATTAAATATTTTAGAGTATAACATTAATTTTGAACACATCTGTTTTTGGTGATTTTTTAGACAGACACATGGACAGACAGATACATAGATTGATAGATGATTATTTTGAAGGACAGACAGATAAAGAGAGCAATTACATTTTATTTTACTTTTGTATGAAGACTCAAATAAATGAAAGGAAATGCAAATGGAGATACCCATAAAAAAGTACATTTATTAAAGGGGTCATATGATGCTTTTTTAAATATCATTATTTGGTGTATTTGGTGTAACAGAATATGTTGACATGCTTTAATGTTCAAAAAACACATTATTTTTAAAATACTGTACATTATTGTAAGTCCTCTATGCCCCGCCTCTCTCAAACGCTTCGTTTTCTACAAAGTCCCTCCTTCCGACAAGCGCAGTCTGCGCTGATTGGCCAGCTGATCCAGTGCATTGTGATTGGCCGATCACCGCAAGCACTCGTCGGAAATGTAACACCCCTTACCATAACCGTGAGCTTATCTATGCACAATCAGCTTGTAACACTCCAAAGAGAAAGGAAAACTTTCGCATCATATGACCCCTTTAAGGGGAAAAAAGTGCTCAGAGCAAGAACATTTTCAATTTGCATCATCATTACTGTTCAATCAAAAATGTTTTGTCCCTGAGCATTTTGCCATTTTTTGCTCGTTTATTAATATTATAAAAAAATTATTCTGTCAATGTTGTGTGATGAAGGATTTTCTTTGTCTTCCCCTCAATATATGTTTTTCTTCAATGACAAGTGAAGAGACAACAATAAGCACAAACACTGTGGCTCTACGGAGCTTTATGTTTGTTTGAGCGGGCCTGACATAGAAACACTGCCTTAACAAATGATGCCTTCTATAAATGGTAGGTTTGTGACAATGGAAGCTGGCTGGAGTATTTGGGAAACGTGTTTGAATAATTGCATTTCTGTTTGATGCTGCTATTGGCACAGAAATAACTAAATGTATGCCTGTTTTTCTCTCATTTCTTCTATGTGCAACCTTCCTAATAGCTTTAATCATGGCTATGATGCATCACACAAAGCACTGTGACTCTTCTAATAGTGCAAATGAAAGGATACATACTTTTTTTTGCCAAACAAGGTCACTTGACATTCTTGCCAGTACACTGACATCACATCTATTTTTTGGTGAAGATATCACTTTGTATTTATTTTTAAAGGGAAATGAAAGAAAGAAAGGGTGAGCTAGATCTTACAGACACCTAGAGGAGGTGACTATGTGACTTTCATTCCGGAATGCAAATCAGCATCACCAGACATTTTATGTATTATCTATTACAGTAATATAATGTAAATAAGTTTAATTAAGAGTTTCTAAGAAAGTTACTTCTAGAGATACTTTGATGGGGTTTGGAGAGATGATAGTGGCCAGGAAAAGGAAAAGAAAAAAAAAAGTTTTCTATTTTCTGTTTATACATCTGTGCTGCATCTTTTCTGTCTGGGTTAATTAGAAAAAATATCTAGTAGGATCCGGTCGCACAGCAACACAGAGCAGCTTCTCCCAGAGGCTTTCTAATCGGAGCATGCTCAGTTCAGTGTGCCCATGGTGACAGTCCCTCTCCACTGCACCACAGGGATTATAACAGGCTGGAGAGCTGAGCCAGGAGACGCCAGGTTTTACATCCCGCAACCTCTGGGTTACTGTGGACAGTCCCGCCTTTCCACACTATTTCAGTGGGAATATTATTTGGAGAAAAGTGTTTGTCTAAGAACAACAACAACAACAAAAAAACGTCAATGAAAGCCTCACAAAACAGCCAAACAGGCGGTTGGCAATCTGCTGAGGGAGCCAGACAGACTTTGCTGTCTTGCAGAGATTATGGAGAATCCCAGTGGTACTGTGAGAGGGGTCATATAACTCATTTAACAAAATTTCCAAATAGGGTGGATTTGTCTGGGGAGCCCAAAATGATGTTGATGTCCACATGAAATATTTACTTAACAAATGATGCCTTCTATAAATGGTAGGTTTGTGACAATGGAAGCTGGCTGGAGTATTTGGGAAACGTGTTTGAATAATTGCATTTCTGTTTGATGCTGCTATTGGCACAGAAATAACTAAATGTATGCCTGTTTTTCTCTCATTTCTTCTATGTGCAACCTTCCTAATAGCTTTAATCATGGCTATGATGCATCACACAAAGCACTGTGACTCTTCTAATAGTGCAAATGAAAGGATACATACTTTTTTTTGCCAAACAAGGTCACTTGACATTCTTGCCAGTACACTGACATCACATCTATTTTTTGGTGAAGATATCACTTTGTATTTATTTTTAAAGGGAAATGAAAGAAAGAAAGGGTGAGCTAGATCTTACAGACACCTAGAGGAGGTGACTATGTGACTTTCATTCCGGAATGCAAATCAGCATCACCAGACATTTTATGTATTATCTATTACAGTAATATAATGTAAATAAGTTTAATTAAGAGTTTCTAAGAAAGTTACTTCTAGAGATACTTTGATGGGGTTTGGAGAGATGATAGTGGCCAGGAAAAGGAATAGAAAAAAAAAAGTTTTCTATTTTCTGTTTATACATCTGTGCTGCATCTTTTCTGTCTGGGTTAATTAGAAAAAATATCTAGTAGGATCCGGTCGCACAGCAACACAGAGCAGCTTCTCCCAGAGGCTTTCTAATCGGAGCATGCTCAGTTCAGTGTGCCCATGGTGACAGTCCCTCTCCACTGCACCACAGGGATTATAAAAGGCTGGAGAGCTGAGCCAGGAGACGCCAGGTTTTACATCCCGCAACCTCTGGGTTACTGTGGACAGTCCCGCCTATCCACACTATTTCAGTGGGAATATTATTTGGAGAAAAGTGTTTGTCTAAGAACAACAACAACAACAACAACAACAAAAACGGCAATGAAAGCCTCACAAAACAGCCAAACAGGCGGTTGGCAATCTGCTGAGGGAGCCAGACAGACTTTGCTGTCTTGCAGAGATTATGGAGAATCCCAGTGGTACTGTGAGAGGGGTCATATAACTCATTTAACAAAATTTCCAAATAGGGTGGATTTGTCTGGGGAGCCCAAAATGATGTTGATGTCCACATGAAATATTTAATTTAATATAAGATTTTTTTTTTTTTCACATTCACAAAAACATACAATTTCTAAACATGACTAAAGATAAACAGGAATTAGAGAAACAACATTTGATGAGGGGAAAGAGCTAAATTACTTTCTTCCCCACAAATTGTCAGCAAATTCATGAGTCCACAGCTGAATTTTTATGAAATTCTCAGAAAAACTTCTTAATGTCTGATTAAATTAACGCTAAAACTTTCACTACAATATTTAGAGAGTTTTTGTACATAGAAAAGCAGTGCTTTAGTTGTGCTTGTTTTTGTGCCAACTTAGTAAAGGTTTAATGGACATTACAGGAGCACAGACTGCCTCACAATGCGATTAGCATAGTTCACAGTAATCCGGGGAAGCTCTTTTAAAGAGCGAGTACAAAATATCAACTTCTCCTGCGATGTCTCCACAGTTAACAGCAATAGCAAAAACGTCTTTCAGCGTAGTACCGGATGTAACTGAGCTGACTGAGACAAAACGCGGAAGTGATTGTGCATAAAGCCCATTGGGGGTAGGAGTTTACATGAATGTATCTCTGAGGGGAATTGACTGTCTTCATAAACGTTTATTTTCCACTATATTGTGGCTGTTCCATAAGCGCCACCTGCTGTCAGATAGTGAATTTGAGGTTTTATTCAGGCCGTCTGCTGTTTTTGTTTCATGCAGATGTTTTGTGTAATATAGTTTCATAAGATAAAAGTCAGACCGTTCTGTTTTTACTTCTAATTTCAAAATTATACATTCTAATTTAGATTAAAAACTGCTCATGCTGCATGTATGCAGCATCTTTGTTTGAATTGTTTATATGAAGAGATTTCTTTTATTTGTGTTTTATTTATTTGATTTGGGGTTTCAATTTAGTTTTGTTACTTGACATATTTAAATTTCACAAACACATACGCAGCATTTTGTCCAAGCAATAATAAAAGGGCACTTTTTCAGTTATAATTTGTATTAAATCTCATTTTGTTAAAACAAAATTGTAAGAAAATCGTATTGTAAAATCAATATCATGAATCGTATCGCATCGTGAGTTGAGTGAATCATTACATCCCTGATAAATATAACTTTTTTAAATCCATTGCAGAATTTTTGTCATTTTCTGAGAATGACTGATGGTTCATAAAGAAGCAGTGATTTTGTTTTTTGTTATGGCGTTGTTGTTTTTTTTGTTTTTTGCCAATAACTTTAAACTCTATGACAAGAACATACAAAACTGTGGAATACTTGTTCACAAATAATAGCTTGTTCATATCACGTCAGGAACCAGATCAGTCCAATTTGTGAATCAGATCATTGTTCGATTTGATATCATTGTTGAAGCATGATTTAAAATGCAACTAAAGGACATAGTATAAAATCTTTCCAAAAAAAAATCCACAGTACTATGACTTCACATAAAAGAAAAAACAGAGACTGATTATGTTCCTCAGACAAGAGAAAAATTACAAATTTGCCATAATTCCCCAGCCGTTAGAAACACTCAAGCAACAGCATTACTTTTCTGTAATTTAATGCTGTAAAGGTAACACAACAAAAAGTATAGTGTTATTAAAATTTAGAAGATCATTTTGTTTATGATAACAAATTACTTGCTGCATACAAGTTTGCAAAGGTCCTTCATAGGACGTTTTCATACCCCTTTAAAAGTGCACCGGTGAGAGTTCTCCCTCACCCAGGGTGGCATGAGAGACAAGACCCTCTCCTGAGATCATCAATAATTTGAGGGTTCTGTGCAGACGCCAATGACTGATAGGGAACAAAAATGTAGTAGATAGATGACACAAAGGAGCGGGGCGCCTTGACTGATGTTGCTACTTAAGCGGTGCACGTTTTCTAATTATGTGATTTATGACGATCATTGCAGATTCACTGGCTCGCTCTTTTCCAGACCACTCGGCTCTCCTCGCCTCCTTCTACCCTCTCGCTCCATTACTGCGGCATTTATCTGCCGAGAGGACATTTTAAGAGATCCTTTTAATTAACCATCTTACACACTCTCTAAGCCGGGTAACTGGTTATTCAGCGCAAATTAAGTTTTAAACAAGTGTGCATGGGTGCATACAAATGGGCACCTTTTAAACGTTTTGTCGCTGCATCAAAAGTGAGACAGCGATGTATGCGGCAGTTCAGATTGTTGCGGTTTTAGGTTATCATAAGGAAGTGTGGACTCTCATCTTCATTCCAGACAGGCATCTCATCAAATTCACTCTTCCTGGGTGTATCATAGTGATTAAAAAGGTGACAAAACACAGAGGACTGGCAATACCTTCTCAGTGACAAGCTCTCACTCTGAAGTCATGCTGTAAGTGTGTGTGGCCTTTCAGCCTGGGCTTTTTACCACTACACTAATTCTTCACATACGCACGCAGAATATGAATGAAATTGAGCAACGTTTAGCTCCAACAAAGAGGATAAACTTTTCGACAAACTTTTTGATTATTTTAAAACCCAGAATCCTAACAACACCTTTCACGGTTGCTGTTGCCAATGACATTTTTGTTTCGGTGCATATCCTGCTAAATGGCATTCTAAGCACAGACTGTTATTTAGACAAAAAGAGAGATCTACAGAACATTTTAGACTTTCACATTTTCGCACTCATTAAGTGACCATCACCCATGGCGACGCACCTTGGTGGTTTGGTTGCCATAGTGAGCAGGGGAGAGGTTGGTGGCTTTTAGCAACAGAGTCAAGGCTGAGTGCATGGCCAATGACAGGTCAATCAGTTAGCACAAATGAAAGAATTTCGCAAACAGGAGGCCCATTACAGCGAAGAGAATTACCTCAACGCTGTCTACCCTGTGGGGTGCTGCCTACAATCTAGATTTCTTTCAATCACAGCTCATTACCCAGGTGCAAAAAATCCAGGGAGAAGATTTTTTGCTCTCTTTCCACTCTTTCCACTGTGAAGTCAAAAACGAATTCTGCGAACAATACGCTCACGCCGCTAGATCCACATGATATGTCTCAGTACCCAAAACGTCTACAACATAAAGCAAAACTGTGAAAGATGTCTATTAGCCAAAGAGATGTCGACTCAAATCAATTAACACTTTATTAACTAAAGGTTAATAAGCTATAATGCACAATATAGCTTTCAAAATAAGAGTCTGATATACCGTGCAGACATAAATGTTCAAATTTACGGTCATTAATGCGCATTAATGGAAACTAAGCCGCAAAAAACTTGGATAGCTATAGTTATGCTTTTGATGTCACAATCACAAATGATGGTGTGCACTTTGCCAATAGTTCAAGTGAAAACATTAGCCAATTATTACAAAGGTAATTTCAGAGTAGCTGCTTTCATGTTAAGAGAATTAATTTTCTGAGCTGAATTTATCAGCAATTACTCCAGTCTTCAGTGTCACATGATTCTTCAGAAATCATTCCAATAAGCTGATTTGCTGCTCAAGAAACATTTCTTATTATAAATGCTGAAAAAGTTGTGCTGCTTAATATTTTTGTGAAAATCATGTTACTTTTTTTGCAGGATTAAGTTTGAAAAGATATAGTATATATATCTTTTCAAACAGTATAACAGCAAATAACAGAATTGTTTTAAAATCAGTTGTAACACTGTGACTGTTTACTGCCACTTTTGATCAATGTAATACTTAAGTTGTGCTGCTTAATATTTTTGTGAAAATCATGTTACTTTTTTTGCAGGATTAAGTTTGAAAAGATATAGTATATATCTAAATAAATAATGTTAAAAAAGGATAACAGAAACAAATAAATGGATCAATGTTTTAAAATTATATTCTATTTATTATCCTATATAAGATACTTAAATTCACTTTAAAAATGTAAAAAAAAAGATATGTAAATTAAATAGCCATTTAAACGCACTTTAAAAGGACACACTCTGCACTTACATACAGTAGTCTTAAAGGTACAGTAACAAAAACAGCATCTTCAATCTAAAGGTCACTGAGTGGGTAGAAAATAGTTACAGCAAACTAAAAAAAAAAACTTTAATTTTAAGATACGAAATACGGCATTACACTTCCTGTGTTTACATCTGTCTCTTTCACACACACACAGTTGTGGCATTTCGCCATGTAGGGGCCACTCCAGACAGTAGATAAGCGTCAGGCAGGCGTTTGATAAAGACGATGATGAGAGGAAACAGTGGAGAGGTGAAGTTATTATGGGTATGTGAAATGAAACTACAGAGAGCCGCCTCTTATCTCCGCTGTCTGTGAAGATGAGGCTCCACGTGGGGAGCTTGAGCTAACATTTAAAACCAGCTCCTCTCTAACACACACTCCAGATTAATACTGACAGCTCAGTGGGGACTAACACATAATAATGCAATTATTTATACAGTTGCATATCATTAATTTTAATGGCATTTACAAAATTAAATTAATAAGCTATATAAGCTCAAGCTATATACAGTGGTCCCTACAAGTATTTGGACACTTAAACGGACAGTTCACCCAAAAACACAAATTCATTATTTAATGTTTCTGCCAACACACACAAGAAGATATTTTGTAGAAAACTGGGCTTCAAACAATATTGGACCCCATTTACTTTCATTGTAAACACCAAAAAAGTAATTTTTCAAAATATCTTCTGTTGTGTTTCATAGAAGAAGGAAATGTGTCCATTTCTAGTTGAATATTTACTGGATTATGCTAAAATATTGTAAATATTACATGGTTATGTGATAAATTGTTACTGAATTTACAGCACAAACAACAATATATTGAGATATACCATTACTGTTGTATAAAATTACTCATACCTGTTATAGAAAATGTATAGCTACAGTGACAAACACCTGACACTAACACATTAGCATTTTCTCATTGGCGACGCAAATGCACTGGTTTCCAAAAATTCAACGTTAAAAATATCAAACCAAACAATCACACTATGTAGCATACTATATAATTCAGGATTGTTACATATAATTTCCAGATGACTCAGGACCTGCCTTAGACACAACTTTTGTGAATAAGCAGTCAGCTTTCCACAGATGTTGATTTTCATCGGGAGGCCGGCATTGTGCTAATGCATGTTGAGTGCCATAATTAACAACACACACTCCATTAATACCGCTTAATACATGTGGCGCAGAAAGAATGGACGCCACATTAACTCCTCCAACTTTCTCTCCTCGCTTTCATCGCTTTTTTCCTCATTGGGCCAAATAAAAAACACCATCTACACAAATCTGCTTCAAGGGATCATGTTTAGGAGTATTGAGGGTAGGAGGCAAATAAATAAAACAGCACAGAACATTAGTTGCTGTTATACCAGGGGTTTTGAAAATTTTATTTTTTATTTAGTTTTTAAATTTTTGTTAGTTTAATTGCTCATAAATATATTTTTATTTTGATTATTTTGTATTTTTGGAACGGTAGTTGGTTGGTTTGCACAAACAATTTTTTTCTTTTCTTTTTTTTTGGTACTTTCTATTTTTTGCTGTTGTTAATTGTTTATTGTTTTTGTTAAAAAACAAAAATTTCAACAAATTAAAATGAAAACTAAAAACATTAATTAACTATACTACAATGGTATAAGTAATACTAAAATAACACAGTTAGCAGCAGAACACACTGGTAATGTTTTTCTCTATGCCATTTTATTGCATTTCCATTTATAGCTTCAGTTTAATTTAATTAGGTCTACTGCAAAATGTTTATTTTTTTATTTAGCAAATACTATTCACTGCCAGTTTTCGTAATCTTATTTTTTATTAACAAAAATAACCTTGTATTATACAAGATTCCTGCTTTTTTTATTATTCCTCTCTGCAGATGGTCCAACACAAAGTAGCTTGAAAGGAGACTTTCACAGTTGAATAGTAAATGGAAAGACTAACACATAATTGGCATTATTTAGTAGCTGTTCAGGAGCTTTTCAACACGCTTCTGGGATAATATTCCTGCAGCGCTTCATTATTTCCTGATGTGCGTGCCTCTGCTTAAGCACCAATGGTCAACAATTGTGCTACTACTGACAAGCAATAAAGTACAAAACAGATGCTAGTTAGAGCCTGGAGTGCCAACAGTAGACAGACCTTGTTGTACTCCATGTGCAGTTTCTCCTGCTCACTCTCCAGCTTGTCTTTAAGGTTCTTCTGCTCCACGATGTTGTCCTGAATCTGAATCATCCTCATGTTCCGCTCTGAATACCAACAGACATGAACAAATCGATACTGAGATTGCTATCAGAGTACAGGGAAAAAGTATATCAAAGGAAGATTGAGGGAGAAAGTACCAAAAAGAGCAATGTTAAGAGAAAAAGAGGGAGAGAAAGTGCGTTGACAGAGGATAGGCCTCCTGCTGGAACCTAATGGAGTGTGTGCCCAAGGTTACTCCACAAATCTGCTCTTAACATCACTCATTTGGAGGGCAAGTGCCTAGCTGCAAGGCTACAGAGCGGGATGCCTGTCTTGCGCTCACTGTCTGATACCGCCTGCTGTATTGCAGGCAGATTCATGTATGTTAGGGACAGTAAGTCACATGCTACAAATGCATCAATGCTTGTTTTAGCCATTAAAATGAAAAAAAAAAATAAAAAAAAAGGAGGCAGACAATATTATCATAAGTGGGTTGATAAATGTTGATTGTCAAAAAATAGATCATAGACCTGATGTGTTATCAGGGCTTGACAATACGGACTGGCTCTGGGCCAGCGTCAAAGACACTCGGGACAGTTGACAGAATTGTGATGTGTTTTCAAGTCTTACCAAATTTAAACATTGAAGTGATTTTAAATAATTCAAGTGCAAAAAGACGCAAAAGAGAACTCTGCTGTACCAAATTGATTTCTCTTTCACATCTTTATGTGCTTGAACATACACACATAAAAAATTTTTTTTAAAAGTCACACTGCCCCTCTTGGCGGGTATCCTCAAACAATGTTGTTTATTTTTAAAGTGAAAGTAAAAGCTGAGAAAGAAACCACATGTGTATCAGTATATTGGATGTGTGCATTAGGCCTAATGTAGCTGCTGCTGTCTGTATCATTAATGTTAATGATGATCATTAATGATAATCAAGCAAACAAGACAAAGAGAAAATCCCTCCGCGCTGTTGACTGAATAATGTTTGTAACTTTAAAAAGCATTCATCTATATAGTGAAGACTGCAGTGTTTTTACATTTGACTGTTTATGTCATCAGTATCTTTGTTCTATTGTATTTATTTGTGCTATTACTTGTCATTTGTTTAGTTGTTCTTATTTTACTTTTGACTGTTTACCTGTCTTTAAATAAATAGTTCACCCAAAAATTTAAGTTTACTGAAAATGTACCTCAACCTCAGGGCATCCAAGATGTTAAGTTAAAAATGTCTTGATGGATTTGTTTATTACAGACTTGACAAGACATTCATTGATGGACAGCAGTCGTGGTGGAATACTTGTGGATTATTGTAATGGTTTTTATCAGCTCTTTAGACTCTCATTCTGACGGCACCCATTCACTGCAGAGGATCCAATGATGAGCAAATGATGTAAAGCTGAACAAACAAACTCATCTACATCTTGAATGGCCTGAGGGTTAGTCAATTTCTGCCAAATGTTTTGGGTGAACTACTTTATATTAGTTAAACTAGGTTTCGCTGTGGTACCAAAAAATTGGAATACAGAACTGTGAAATTTGAGAACTGTTTCAAACCACCTACCTAGGTAGTAGTTAACAAAGTCTGCCGTGAGGGCAGGCTGCTTATGTTTACGCCGTCCGTCCACACTTGCGCTGGTATCGGATGTGTCCACGGGGAAGATGTCTGTGCTGATACCCATGAGCTCGGCTTTACGCATCAGTTTACGGATGGCTGAAGCACTAGAGGTGAGCGGCCGGGGAAGCTTCTCTCGTGGCACCCATGCCTGCTGCCGAGTGTTTCGAGACAGCTCTGCTTTCGCTCTGTACTGCTGAAGCCGCGTGGTTATTCGAGCCTAGAGGTTGGGAAATCATAGGCATTCAAAATTAATGATGACTGATCTTGACTGTCTGATGTATGGAAGACAATATCTGCCTCAGAGTAAAGCGGACCTGAGCTTCAGGTGTGAGCTGCTTCTCCCTTTCCTGCAAAGACACTTTGCAGTAGGACTGCAGGGCCAGGTAATTCTTCCTTTTCCATTTCCTGTCAAAGCGGTCTGCATGCTGCTTGCAGTAGGCAAAGAATGGATCAGCAATGTCCTGTGGGTATAAGTGGATCATGATTTTAAATACAGACACCCACGAGACTTGAAATATAGCTTGATAAAAAAGACAAATTAGTGATGAACGACATGTTATTAATAATCGGTTTTATATTATATTTATTAATAATATAAAATGGATGGGTCCAATTAAAATTCTGACGATGAAATGCATACAGTACACTAGGGGTTGCACCGACTAATCGACTTCAATGCTCTGCCATGACACTTTAAGCTTGACGTCGACTAGTCGCTGATCCTATAGAGGGCGCAACAGAATAAGAAATCTTTGAAGGACTTCCACATTCCACATAACTGTTTCCAAACAGTTCAAATGACAAATAAATGCATACCCTGAAAGCACTCCACAAGACATGTGTGATTATATTACTGGATGCTGGTAATTGAACAGGAGAATGCACGTTTTAAACAGCTTATTGTACAGGTACTTAAAGACAAAAGAACTGATAAAAAAAGCTGTTATAGAAGCAACAGCCATGCGGGCAGCACTGTGTCATATGCCATAGCTGTGCACAAGGTGTTTGTCACAGCTCCAGACTTATTTGTTAATTAATGACGTCATCAGCGACTAGTCGACTTCGACTCGACTTTCATCACATAAAAGTCGACTTCAAAAAATCAGAAGTCGTTCAACCCCTACAGTACACAGCCACTGTAAAATGGCAATAAACACAAATCTGTATTAAGGCAGCAAGCTACTAGACTGCTTGGCAACACAGTATATAGTAAAACACAGCCTCTCAAATCTAACTGCTTTATTTTTTTATTCTCTAAAACTTTTTCTTACCAAGTACCCTTTTATTGTGTAAAACTGATGATTAGCCTGGCCTATAACATTATGTGTAAAGCATCGTATTAATGCATTTACATAATTTATGATACCGTTCAAAATTTGGAGTCCGATTTTTCATTGAAAAAACATAATACATTTAATCAGCATGGATGCATTAAATTAATGCATTTATAACAAAGTATTTATATTTCAAATAAACGGTGTTCTATTGAACGTTCTTTTCAAAGAACCCACAAAAACATTCAGCAGCACTACCATTTTCAAAAATGATAAGAAATGTTTCTTGACCAGCAAATCAGCATATTAGAATGATTTCTAAATGATCATGTGACACTGAAGACAGGAGTAATGGCTGCTGAAATTTCAGCTTTGAAAACATTTTACTATACTGTTTTTATTTTTACTGTATTTTTGATCAAACAAATGCAGCCTTGGGAACATAAGATACTTCTTTCAAAAAAATAATAAAAATAAAAATCTTTCCGACCCCAAACTTTTGAATGATAGTGTATTTTCCAAAGCCATTATAATAAGGATTAATGTTCTGAGTCATACATGTACATCACATTTTATTTGTTACATAATATTTTATTTGTTACATAATATAAGCTATTCTGGTAGGGACAATGGAACAAGAAGCTGAATTTTTGCTTATTTAACTTGGTAGAAGTTAATTTAACTTCAAAATAATATGGCATTATTAATATGGTTTTTTTAATTTTGTTTAAAATTAGTATGAAATCTAACATAATTAGCAGACCCTCTACAGTACGGCTGTGGAACAATTCCTCCTGTTGAAGACCCAAACACTGGTCAACCTGTGTGTTCGAGACTGATTCGTAATTTGGCAATTCCTCAAATAACCAATAAACTGAAAGACACCAAAAAACAACAAACAAGAAAACTGTTTTCAATGAATACCTTCACTTTCTGTTGATCAAAACAAACGCAGATGTCTTGCAAAGTCAGTATTATTAAATAATCTACTGATGTCTAACGTGTCATCTGAAAGCATGAAAAAACAAAACCTTGGCTGTGGTGCAATACACAGTGTTTAATCTATTTCTTAAAATGCACACAACTTGGAGGAAGGTGAGAGAAGGGCTGAAGTCCTTAAGAACAATCTCTGAGTGATTTGATTAAGGCTATTTCAAGATATTTCCCTTTATCTTCAACTACCTCATTATTGTTAACGCGACAATTGTTGCAGGTTTCATTTTGAGTGCTTGTGTGCTCAGACACCTGATCATTCTAATGTACATTTTGATTATGGGGGAATGGGACTATCTTCTGAAATACAGGTTCACGCTTTCTGGCTGTTGGGATAATGATGCATAGTGCTCCAGATTTTTATAGACCATCAATGGCTGTGCATTCCCTGATAGCCATGATAAATAGGCGTTCACAAAATGTCTGTAAAAATTCCCCTCCCTTTTAAAGGACAAGTACATTTTGCAGAGAATGTGGGAGCTGATGCTGGGGGGCAAGACAATGACTGATATAAGGCTGGTGGGACTTTTCCAGGAATGGAAAGTGACTGCAGATCTGCCTTTCTCAGAAACAGCCTTCTATGGAAGGGGAGGGAACCTTAGAACAATGTCAGCCTATTTCAGCAGTTTCAAATCTCTGACGTTAGCAGCAAGTTTCTCTCACTGAGCTCACATCTCCTCATCACAAGCATAGCATTTCACCCCCTCCCTCGAGGGCAGATGGAAGCACAGCCATTTTCCGACATCCACAGAATAATTTAGGCTTAAGGTGTCTCGCCGGATGCTATCAGCCCACTCACCTGTTGATATGAGGCCCTTTGCACAGCTGACTGGATTAAGTGGATTGCAGAGAGTAGGCACTTTTCGCCAGTGTTTATCTGCGCTGAACGCCACCATCATATGCTTCTCCAATATGGACTGCATATTTGAGCCACGAGGCTGATGGTCTGTGACCACGACCTGGGATGGGAATTTGTTCAGCTGGATGACCTCGTGCTCTGAGTCCTCTCTCTATGCTTACAGGTATCTGTTTGATAAACTCCCGCATTTGAAGATCAAACGTGCATGTGAAAAATGTGTTGACAGAGAATCGGAATCTTCCTAAAGGAACAGTTCACCAAAAAAAAAATTGCCATTTGCTGAATTGTACTCACCCCCAGGCCGTCCAAGATGGATGATGAGTTTGTTTCTTCATTGGAACCGATTTGGAGAAGTTTAGCATTACATACCTTGCTCACCAATGAATCATCTGCAGTGAATGGGTGCCGTTAGAATGAAAGCAAACAGCTGATAAAAACAACATAATCCAAAAGTAACCCGCACGACTCCAGTCCATCAATTACCATCTTGTAAAGTGAGAAACTGCGTGTTTGTAAGAAACAAATCCATCATTAAGACGTTTTAATTTTAAACCGTTGATTCTGGCCAAAATGAGAGTCTGTAATCCATAATAATGCTTCCTCCAGTGAAAAAGTCCATCCCCTGTTGTCCTCTCACATAACAATCCATCAAGAAATTTGCACAAGACATAAATTGACGGACTGGAGTGGTGTGGATTACTTGTGGATTATTGTGATGTTTTTATCAGCTGTTCTGACTCTCATTCTAATGGCACCCATTCACTGCAGAGGATCTACTGATGAGCAGTTGATGTAATGCTAAAATTCTCCAAATTTTTTTCGATGAAAAAATACAACTTTTATACCACATACAAGTCAAATGGACCATTTTTATGATATCTTCATGATGATGATTTTGTCATTTTAGAGCTTGGATACCCCAGTCCTCATCCATTTTCTTTACAGCAAAAAGAGAAGCCAGAATATTCTTTAAAAATGCACTTTAAGTGTTCAACAGAAGGTGGTCAGTTCAATAGGTTTTAGAACAAATGTGGGTGAGAAGTAAAAAAATCAGTATTTGCGTTGAAATGGATTTGAGGAATATATATAAATATACACAGTATCTCACAGAAATGAGTACACTCCTCACATTTTTGTAAATATTTTATTATATCTTTTCATGTGACAACACTGAAGAAATGACACTTTGCTACAATGTAAAGTAGTGAGTGTACAGCTTGTATAACAGTGTAAATTTGCTGTCCCCTCAAAATAATTAAACACACAGCCATTAATGTCTAAACCGCTGGCCACAAAAGTGAGTACACCCCTAAATATATATGTCCAAATTGGGCCCAATTAGCCATTTTCTCTCCCCGGTGTCATGTGACTCATTAGTGTTACAAGGTCTCGGGTGTGAATGGGGAGCAGGTGTGTTAAATTTATATATATATATATATATATATATATATATATATATATATATATATATATATGTGACCCTGGACCACAAAACCAGTCCATTTTTAGAAATTGAGATGTATACATCATCTGGATAAATAAGCTTTATATTGATGTATGGTTTGTTAGGATAGGACAATATTTGGCTGAGATAAAACTATTTGAAAATCTGGAATCCGAGTGTGCAAAAAATATTGAGAAAATCGCCTTTAAATTTGTCCAAATAAAGTTCTTAGCAATGCATATAACGAACCATGAATATTTTTACAGTAGGAATTTTACAAAATATCTTCATGGAACATGATCTTTTCTTAATATCCTATTGATTTTTGGCATTAAAGAAAAATCAATAATTGTGACCCATACAATGTATTTTTGGCTATTTCTACAAATATACCCCAGCGACTTAAGACACACATATATATATATATATATGTATTTTTTTTTTATTATTTTTTTTTTATTGAGGAAAAAATCCTTGAAAGAGGTGGATGAGAGCTGGAATATTAAAAGCATGCCACTGAACGTTACAAAGCTGGCATCACAACAATGCAACTGTGGTGAAGTTGGATAAAAACATCAAATAATGTAGAGAAAAGAGGATCACCACACACTTACCTCTTCCGCAGCAGCTTCAGACAGCAGCCCTTCTCGTTGAGCACACGTAACGTGGAAGAATGAGCGGCACATTCCGGCATCACAACTGATGCAAACGCCTGTGCGAGCAAAGCGTGCATCCTCACACAAACTGCACTCCTGTAAACCATTAACAGGCTATTGTGACAACAGCAAATGTCAGAAAACTATAACGTACTAAGAAAAACATGACAGGGAAAACTTTCTAGCATTTGCTGACTTCAAATATTATTACTTTCCTACTAATGACTTCGAATTATTTCTATTTTTGCAGTCAAGAAAGAAAGGTAAACTGAAAGCTGATTGTGTAACACAGCTTGAATATGGAAAAAAGATATGTAAACACCATTATAATAATCCCACATTCATTTACAGTATAGTTCTATATTTAAGATAAGGTGGACAACGAGTCTCTAAAAGCCCATTTGACTTTCTCCAATTACTGGAGTTCAAAATTAAAATAATAATAGCCTTTCTCTAGGAGTAATTTATTTTCACATGTACTGCACAAACCATTAAAGAAAGACTTTCAAGTGCTTCTAAAGTAATTTGCTTCCCAGTAAAAGGAACCTCTTCTGACTTACTGACACATAAAATAATGTCAGATAGAGTAAATGTCAAAATGTCTAGTCGACAGAAATTCTTGGGAGGGAAGTGAAAGATGCCCTTTGCTCAAAGAAGGAAGTCAGCACTTCACATCTTTTATCAGAAATGTATTTTGTTTTTTAAATAAAGTGTCAAAAAAAAAGAACACGAAAAAAAGAAAATGGGTTTTCCAGCAATTTACATTTGTTTGAATAATATCTAGGATGCACCAATTAATCAGTGATTTTATTGATTGTTTTCAGTTGATTTTCATAAATCTGTGATAATCTGACAAACTAAAAACAGTTAATTTATGTTTTATTAATATACATTTGTACATATATTATACCAGTGAAACATATACACTACCAGTGAAGTTTTTTGTTTTTTTAATAAATTAATACTTTTATTCAGCAAGGATGGATTAAATTGATCAAAAGTGTCAAGTGAACCCATTTATAATGTTACAAAATATTTACATTTCAAATAAATGCTGTTCTTTTGAACTTTCATTAAAAAATGTTCAAAAAACAACTATTGGGTTTCCACAGATATATTAAGCAATGCAACTGTTTTTAACAATGTTTGTTAAATGATTCTTGAGAAAATGTTTTAAAAATGTTTCTTGAGCACCAAATAAGCATATTAGAATGATTTCTGAAAGATCATGTGACAGTGACACTGAAGACTGCTTACCATCATATCACATTAACATTAAAATATCACGTTACCATTAAAATATAATTGTAAGTTGCAAAATTTCAAAATATTACTACAACTTAAAAGTTCTGTTTTTACTGTATTTCTATTTAAATAAATGCAGTCATGGTGAGAGTAAGTGTTATGTATGTTTCATTTAGAATTTCACAGTATGGTGCATTTTGCTGCAGAAGAAAAAATTACATAAATGTTAGTAACTGGATCAGTATATGTCTTCAACCCTGCTCCTGGGGACCCACTGTCCAGCAAAGTTTATTTCCAACCTGCTTCAGCACACCTGGCCTCTGACTTTTCAAGTGATCCTGAAGACCTTGATTAGCTGGTTCAGGTGTGTTTGATTAGGGTTGGAGCTGAACTCTGCAGGAAAGTGGGTCCCCCAGGAGCAGGGTTGAAGATCTATGGTATTGGCTGATTATAGTGTTCAAATACCGATTATCACATCGGCTTACCACTATTAATAACCTGTTCTTGAGGTAATGTTATTTTATTTTTATTTTTTTAGCTGTATGTCATTAGTAACTTTTGATACTTGCCTTTGCTCCATACTTTGAGTAGTTCATCTCTGTGAGCGTTACAGGCCGCAGCTTGTCAATATCTCCAAATGCGACCCCTGGAACATAAAGGGCACACACCACGTGCACCCACCTTCAGCAGAACAAAGCAAAGTTGAGCATTCATTCATAATATCTATTTTTACGTAACAGTTATCATAGTATACGGACAGTTCCTTATTCACATTATGTGCTGAATAAATCATATGATTGTAATTACATTCATTCAGAGGTCCACCGTTAGCAGAACAAAGCAGCATCTAGTTAATGGACTACTATTCACTCTTCCTTTAATAACTGCTATAACCCTTAAGCCATTCAGAAGAGGAAATACTCAGTTACAGGTTCAAATGTACTCTAACTTGACCATTTGTTGTGACAGAATTTCAAATGCAGATTTTAGGAAGGAGAATCCGAAGTCCAATATAAAGATATCCATCTTTGGTGAGCGCACGCTCCACACTTTAATTTGCTGTGTTTTTCATGCTCTAGTGAAGTAGCAAATTTGGGTGCAGGCGGGCTGAGGAGCACTATCAGTGATAACGTGGCTTGAGTCTTCACGCTTCAGACGACTGTCTCTTCCTCTTCCTCTCTCTCAGCCCCATCCCTCCCTCCTAGCCAAATCCACCACTTTTTCTCTCCTTCACTCATCCTGCACATACCTGTGCCTCTTCAAGTTTTTCACTTATTTAGCATTTTTCCAGCATCTTAGCTCAGAGGGTGGCATAAAACCTTCAACTAGGGATGCGCCGATCCGATATTCATATCGGGTATCGGCTCCGATAGTGCAATTTTTCTCGGATCGAGTATCGGTCAGAGAGGGCCGATCCAAATCAGAGATTTTTATTTATTTTTTCTCTCGATTGTGCGAATTATTCTGTGTTACTTCTGAAGCCATACGATAGCTTAATGTGAGCTACATATGAATATGTAAGTCCTTACATTAAAGTTCACACAAACTCTTTTCTCCACTGTGGCTGTCAGTCATTCGTTCAGCCTTTAAACCCTGGTCACGTTCGGTCACAGCAGTCCGGTAAAGCAGTCCGGTAAAGCTCTCTCCAAGATCATTCTGTGTTCCCATTATACTTGATTTGTAAATACAGGTCTATGATTTTGCAAAAAGGACTTTATCTTCTTGCCGGAGTTTAATGTTGTTTTGTTACTTACTACCGGGTGTCAGTGAGAACAAAACACGGGCGTAGAAGAGACTATAAATTGTTTTTAACGTGTAACCGAAATTTAAAACTGTTAAAAGAAAGGCTCAATAACTATTGCACAGATATAATACACTACGCATCAATTTCTCTTCCCTTTGTGCTTTGCAGTTTTTACTGCCGAATTATCCACTAACCTAGTTTATGATACATTTTTGTCTTAGATTATAAATATACATATATTTTTTCATATTTATTGTTTATTTTATTTTTCTTTATAATTAAGTAGTCTGTATCTAGTAGATTGTGAAAGAATGAGTATCAGTTCCACACACAGAGATATATAAATTCTAAATGTATTTAAATGAGGGGAAAAAAACTTCACTGGTATCGGATCGGTATCGGTATCTGTATCGGCCAATACCGAACCCTAGGTACTGGAATCGGTATCGGAGGCGAAAAAGGCGGATCGGAGCATCCCTACCTTCAACGGATATACAACAATTAAAGGAGTAACTCAAACATGAAAAGGTGTGACGGGGGTGGCTGTGCCTTTAATGAGTGTGCTAATGATGATAAAACGTAATATCAGACCAAGCATCGGTTAAAACTCACCTCCCCGCATCAGTTTCTTTGAAGATGCCGTCCTGACTGGGACAGAGTTCGCAGCTGGGTGTGACGCCATTCTTGCACGCGTCACAGAACCACGGTTCTGTCGAGTTCTCCGAGGCTGAGCTCATGATAGAGTCACTTTCACCATCGACACCATAACAACCTGAGGAAAAAAAAGAAAGAAATATCAATCTGAATTAATGAAATGAATGTTGAGTATTTCATATTACTGAGGGCTCAGTTCTTCTTGTAAAGTTGTTACAATATAACCTATTCACAATCATAAATACTGAATCTGTGCAGTACATGCATAAATATGCATATACAAATTTTCAAATATTGAAAATATGTGTGCCTCTTAATATTTCCGGGTTTTTTTTCCAGGATTCTTTGATGAATAGCAAATTCAAAAGAACAATTTATTTAAAAATAGAAATCTCAAATCTTTTGATGTATTGATAAACTAAATATAGTTTGTTTGTTTCTCTTTTTTTCCTCAAAATGTTCTTAAATTAAATGTCACGATACAAGGTAATGTTAACTGGATGGCAATCATGGCATAGTTGAGGCTGTGGTGAAATAGCAAAAATCACTTCACCTTGGAAGCATCAATAAGACTGGTTTAAAAATGTTATTATATTTCACCCATTTAATTTTTTTCTGGGAAAAAAAAAACGTAACATTTAACAAAAATGAAGAATGTAATAACATTTAATGAAAAAGTATTTTTTCTTTTTTAAGAAAACACAAAAAATGGTGGTGGCTTGGAAATGTGAGAATGTTAACATGGCACTTTAAAATCTAAACTACAGCAGAAAATATCCTAAGTGCTTAGCCGCCTGATGTAGCAACTGTGCATGGCAGAATGTCAAAAGAACAAAGAAATCTAGAGCGCAGAATGCTTTTGTTGCTAAACTTTTTCCAGACAAAGCTAATAATAAGGCCATTTGATCAAATGGTACCACCACAAGTCAAAGATTGAAGCATTGGGCCAACAAAAGCATTTCAATGCTGTCCCCTTAATTTCCTCAGGTTGCCAAGACAATTATTGTGCTGATCAGGTTACCATGACGCCTATTACACTCAGCAAACGTGCTCCATGCCACCAATAAGCGCGGCAATCAGCTCCTTCTCAACACTGCAGAGATAACGTTCCTGTTTCTAATACAGCAAATCTGCCCCCGGGCATTGGAGAAATGAAGAGAGAGACAAGCAAATAAAAGTTCAGGTACTTTGCATACTCCCCACAAAAGACCCAAACAGCAAAATGTGCAGAGAATGCTTAAGCATGGCTTTTCTCTGAGTTCCAACCAGCACGCTAAAACTTCTAGGTTTGTAGTGATAAACACAACAGAACTTGGGAGAGGTCGATATTAAAGCTCAGGGGGGGAAATTAAGGTGTGCAATTTTGTGAGGTAAAATATGTTGAGCTGGACAATTTATGTTTGCCAGAATCATCCAGGTCACTTTTTCCAAGAGCAAACACAGGTAACCTAAGTGCACGTGAAAAACACACAGCATTTCTCACCAGTGGGAGCAAATGTTAGGCTTTCATATTCTCATATATTCTCAGTCTTTTTTAACCAAGTGGTAATGGGTCCCATTACGAAGCCCAGGCTGACTTTATGTTTTTAAAGAAAGGTAGTATGGGAACACTGCTGGCAACAGTTGGGTGCGTATTACTGACTGGGCTTTGAACCATAGGGCTGGAGCTTGCAATGATCAGTTTGCTGGTTTAACGGACTTACTGCTGAACCGTCAAGCAAATCTCAGATGTTTCTTTTGAACTCAGATACAAAGCTGGACCTGCTAAACCACAGGCTGCGGCTAATATGAGCTAAGCTGGAAAAAAGTGATGACTATAGGAGAGCTTCATAATCCCTGAGGAGAAGATTATCCTTGTCAGAAATGAGGAGCTTGGCAGTTAAAGAGCAACCCGGGGAAGGGTGGTGACAAAATCAAGAGGAACACTTTTAAGATGTAATGGAGGAAGGTTCAAGATTGGCTTCAGAATGAGTTAACAGGCTAGGCTGCTGTGTGTATGTGTCAGAATACGACTGAAATCAGACAATGAGGCAAAGACTGCCGGTACTATGTGTAGTGTGTGTGTGTTCTTCAACAACCTATTTGTTAGGTGTTCAACTTTACTCTCATGATGTGCAAACAATGACGGGTATGCAATAATTTATCTGCACACTATAAAAATGAAATTGAGTTGGTTTATTTGCATCTCTAATAACCTAAGGGAACAAATTAACTTGATTACAGTTCTGACTTCAAGCAAATGATTCCTTGCAGTGTTCGTGATCGTGAGAATGTCCATTCTAGCTCAATAATAATAAAAATAAATAAATACAATCATATATATATATATATATATATATAACCCCAAACTAAATAATAGTGTATTCTTTTAAGTAAAATGTACATAATTTCAGCTAAATAATAAGTTGTCTAAAATGTTAGGCAAACCACCAGAAAACAAGGAAAGTGTGTGGCTATGCTATACTTATGGCTATAAACAATGTTTTAAAGTTTATTGGCCAACTCTATCCACTTCACACAGATGCTTTATTCTCAAAAAAAATATTTTCAGGGGTAATTAACAACTACAACTTTTACTCCATATTGAACCCAGAATATTCCTTTAATATTAAGTCCTTTGACTCTTTCTGTCTTTGTCAAATGATTGAGTGAACGTTCAGCACAGCGATGTATTTCAATTATATTCACTCTGTTTCTTCCCTAAATGCTAATATTTTTCATCCTGGATGAAGTAGATTTATTCAATAGCTCAAATATTAGCCAAGTCAGCATGCAAAGCAGGAGCACAGAGAGGAACAACAGAATCGAGTTGGGGGGTGGGGGGGGTACATGAATGAATGAATAAGGCCAATTAGAGCCCACAGACCTGGTAGATGAGAAAGAGAGAGAGGGGGGGAAAAGATAACGTAAAAGCTACGAATGGCAGCTGCCTTGATGTAAATCAGCAAAACTGATTCACAGTTACTAAAAAAAGCCTTTTGAAAACCAGCACTCTCTCTTTCACAAAACAATACAATCATTTTCATAACCAGCAATGCGTGGAATAAATCATTTCCTCTTTAAGAGGCGAGTGAAAAAAAATAAAATTAAACGCATACAAGTGAAAAAAATTAAAGGTTCTATCAAACCAGATAACATTTTAATTGAATACTTGTATTCTGTGAAGCTGGTTTTGTACTGGGATGAAACCAATGTGATTCAGCTGTTATTCAGCAAGGCACCTTTTTAAGAACAAAGGCTTGAATTTGCTTAATACATTGGTTTTATTTAGCAGTGTTTGAAATGTTTTGTTCCAATAGTCAATGAAAGTCAAAATAGTTTTCACTACTCCAGCATGTAGCCTAGCTATTGAACACATTACATACTTCCCCTCTGCATATTATAAAGCATACAATTTTCAGACTGTCATTAGTTTACAATATTTTACAAGCACATCATTTTTATTTAAACCAAATCAAACTATACAGTTCAACAACTGAAGGAACAACCATCCCTGAAGCACCCCGGGGTTAAGGGCATTTCTAAAGAGCACAACGGTAAAATGTTTTTAGGTCCTTATCACATCCTTTCCAATGGATTCAAGTCAGGACTTTGCCTGGGCAACTTTAAGACTTTAAAACTGATTATTTTTAGCCATTCAGATGTGATCTGGATTCTGTGTTTTGGATAATTGTCCTCCAGCACCACCCAATTGAACTTTACCTTCAGGTGACGCACAGATGGTTAGATATTCTCAGTTTTGAGTCTTTTGACTATATTTTGGGACACTGAGACTCATTCCAAGAACAATTGAAACCATTTAGTGACAAAAAGCAAACCAAAGAAGAAATCCAAATACCTTTTCACCACACTGTAGCTTACTCTAGCCAAGACTCACTAGTCCTAAAGTGTAATTTTAGCATTTTGGTACCTTGTAAACCCACAGGCACACCACCTGAGGCAAAGACTGTGCCGCAACCCAGCCTAGGGTAACATGCATCGCCGGTTCATTGTGATGATACAATCCTCCTTGAAGGCAAGCTGAAACTTGGACAGGAAGCAAGGGAACAGCGCTTATGGTCTGAGGACTGGAAGATCAGATAGAGCAAGGGAGGAACATGTTTTTAACCTTGAGCAAAATACTTAACCTGAAATAATTTAGCAATTACCCATCTGTACAAAGGGATAATGTGAGCTCTTCTGCCCGGTGCACCAGTGTGAAAATACATGTGCAAAGTGGTTTCAATACATCCTGCTACACTCCGCATAGCAAATACCTTCAAGCAAAACCATTTAACTTCTGATGAGAAACCTATTTATAAAACTAAGGCAGTTCAGCACACAAAGCCTCTCACAGTGTTCCCAAAACATAGACCTATCACAAAAAAACTGTCATAATACAGCATGATATAAAGGGGAAACACAAAGCCCAAAGCCATTATTCCTGTAACAAAATACACAGCTAAAAGCACACGACAGATTAGTCTCCAATCATTTGTTTTTGTCTGGTTCGCACTAGACCAAGTTTTAAAGGGATAGTTCACCCAAAAAAGAAAATTCTGTTATTAATCACTCACCCTCATGTTGTTCCAAACCCATAAGACATTTGTTCGTCTTTGGAACACAAATTAAGATATTTCTGATGAAATCCGAGAGCTTTCTGACCCCGCATAGACAGCAATGTAACTACCATGTTCAAGGCACAGTAAGGTAGTAAAGACATCGTTAAAATAGTCAATGTGACATCAGTGGTTCAACCGTAATGTTATGAAGCTATAAGAATACTTTTTGTGTGCAAAAAAACAAACAAAAATAAGGACTCAGGGCTCTACAGTGCGACCATTTCAGTCGCATTTACGACTGGAAGCTACTGCGTGCGACTATGAAATAATATTTAGGAGCACCTGTGCGACTGACCTGATCAGCATATTTGTGTTTGCGCTGAGGGAGCTTCAAAGGTTCTAATATACGTACGTGTTTCTGCAGCGTTGAGTAATGTATCACAGACATATCCTCTCATATAACAAACACGGTGCTGACGGGGTGTAAATAAGAGATTCATTGTGCAGTGTAGAGAGCTTCGTCGATTATAATGGAGTTTTGTGAGATCGGGATAAACTAAGATGAGTGACAGCTTTT